GATGTTTATTTAGACATAACGCCTACCTAATTGAATTGTTTTAAATATGCACTAATAACTAGTGTAGACGTAGAACGTAGTTTTTCTTTGTACAAACATATTTTAAGTAATTAGAAGATTTAATTTTAATGAATATAATTTAGAAATGTATCTTATTATTAATTTTAATTAAAAAAAAGAAACATTTATCTAATTTTTTGTTATAAATTTTGAATTTTTATTGTGTAATTTATTATACAACTTCTACGTATTTTTTGGTGCAATTATACAATTTTAGTGTGTTTTTAATGCAATTAAATCCGGTCTCTACTTATAACTTAAGTTAATAATTATAAATGAAATCCTATTTTAAGCTTCATTTATCAAGTGTTCAAGTAGTCCATAATTGATACTATAATACTTATAAAAAAAGTAAGAAAGTGGGTATCGCTCTGCTGTGTAGTAGGAGCGGAGAGTAAGTCACTATAATGGATGAGTTAAATTTGAATGCAATGATAGGTATTACTGTATACGAAAAACTATTCTCAACGGAAATTCAACCTATATTTACATTAAAATATATTTTATTTTGGTACAAGTAATTTATTTTTCAAGTAGAGTTTAGAACAAGTTGCATACTTCCATACGGCAAGGTTAATCAATTTTTTCCAAAAACTTCAAATGCATATATAAAAAAAACAGTACCAATGTATTTTGATAAGTTTTGAATGACTGTATGACATACTTTTGAGGAATCTCTTATTACATTTTCAAGTATTTTGCTCCAGCTACAATTTTTTTATCAATGTTTATAAAAAATAACTTTAAAAAAAACGTATACTTCAAATACCTATGACTAGTATAAAAATTAGTGAAATATTTCAAAAAGAAAATTATATAAAGAAAATGCCAATCTCAACTACTGGTGTAAAAGTTTCAAGTTTCTACTACTTATACTTTTTGAATAACAACAATAAATATCTTAAATCGTTTTAGAATATAATATATCGTTATTTTACGCAAATTCGTAAAAATTTAAATTTCATACGCTCATAAATTTTTTTCTATTTTGACACTGGAGTTTTTGTTTTTTAACCCTTAAGTCTAAATTACAAAAATTTTATGAATTTTTAACTTCAAAATTCCTTGCTAATTTTTGCGATTTTGACATAGTTGGTAAAAATTTGGAATTTAAACGCTTGTAACAAAAATTGTAAATAACAATTTTTGATTTGTTTTTACTACGATAAGTATAACTTATAATAAATCTTGTATTACATTTTAAAGATTTTTTTTTAATTGGCATTTCAAAAAAAAAAGCTTAGAAAAATCATAAATTTTAATTGTCTATAAATCGTTTTAAAAAAGTAAAAATGTTTTTAAAATTTAATCATAAATAGTTAACGCTAATTTAAACATTTGGTGAAAATTTAAAGTATTTACAATGATTCGTATTTGAGTATTTGAGTTACAGCAAGATAAAAAAAATCGATTTTATCAAAAACTGATTATGTGTCAAAATTCCTATTTTTCGGTTATTTTTTTAGGGTTTTTCTTTATACTTTTAAAAACAACTGGACATTTTTAACTTTTGCCCCCCCCCCCCCAAAGTACCACTATATTCACTTTCCTTTTTAAAATGGGGCTGAAATCAAAGATCAAAGCACTGTTACTACTCTAAAACGTGATGATAGATACAAAAAAAAATTAAAAATTAAAAAATAGCATACATTATTGTAAAATTAATAAATTGATCACTCCGTTTAGAATCTAAAAGAAGAAAATGTCATTTAATTAAAACAACTTGTCTTGGTTATACTCGTATTATTAATGTTAAGTTATACAGTAGCCAGTAAGGTCTCGTTAATCCGAACAAAATTGGGGAAAGGGATCATTCGGATTAGCGATTTGTTCGGATTACTTATGAGTTATACTTGAAAAAAATCAATTTTCTTGCAATTTAAATTTTGAAATATGTTCTGATGTATACAATAATATATTATATTTAATTATGAATTTTGATACACCTGTAGTATAGCGATGGGGCTATTTCCAAGCCCGTCCGGATTACCGCGTGTTTTGGATTAGCCAGTGTTCGGACTAACGAGACTCTACTGTAGATACGTTGGTATAAATTAATAAGTAATAAATAACAAATAACATAATTAACTCAAAAATGTATACTTAATATAGAGAAATATATTAACTAGATTTAATTTAAAATAAGTTTTAAATAATTACTTATACCTAAATAACGTTTTAAAGTAAAAATCAACTATGTTTCGTGTGTGTAACATAAATATAACAAAAATGGACAAAGCTTCATACTAAGATAACATTAACTAAATTATCTAAATAATTTAGTTAATGTTATAAAAAATGAAATGAAATACTTAGGTCATAATATAATATGATACATACCTAATATTTGTCACTCAATTATGCCATCACTTTATAATAGAATTTAGTACCTACCTAAAAGCTTGACTTAGAAAAAATTCTCAAGTAAGGTTAATAGACTTTTAGTATAAATCGAATAGATGCTCCTCAAATTCATTCAATATAAATCAAATACACACATTTAGTATTAATATAAATGGAATACAAAATTAAAAAAAAAACTTAAACATTTCTTTATACCTATTAGAACTGTAAGTTACTCCATTGCAAATTCATCATAGTAGACATAACTTACTGTTTTCTAATTTCTAAGAGTAAACATTTTAACACACTACAATATACAAATTTAAATTATTTATTGAAATTTGGAATACAAACAACTTCTTAAAGATAGCATCACATATTTTACAATATTATTTATTACCTTATTAAATATTTATATTTAAGATAATATATAAAATATTTAAATGGCATAATTAAGTACATATCATTGTAAATACAATTAAATAAACCGAGATTTGAATAATATTAACAAAATAAATTATAATAATTCAAAAAAAATAATTAAATTATTTTTTGCAAAAGTGTATTTTTTTTTTTTTACTAATTTTTCTATGATATATTAGTACATACTAATTTAATGCAAAAAAAAAGATTACTATAAAGTATAAATATATTTGACTATAGGAAATAGTTATTTATTCATTCAATATTTTTTAATTAATTTAAAGTATAACATTTTTTTATAATTTAGTTAAATTAATCTTTAAAATAATGTGTCACAAAGATAATGTAATTAACTGTTTTAAGTAGTACAAACAATTTTATTTGGTATTTTATAAAATAATCAAAGAATCATAACCATGACATAATTTAGAATTTTTAATAGTTCTGAAAATATAGGCTAAACCTGTGAAAACCAAATTGATTGATAAGAAACGTTTTATTAGGTAATTTAATTGTAGATACTATTGAATATTTTTTCAGAAATTAGTTACACAATTGACTCTTAAATTACTTTTAAACTATAGTATATTTGAAATACATTTAATAGGTACTCAAACACAAATGTTAAAAAAAGTTTTCCACTAAAAAAACATTTAAGATTTGTTATTTAAAAACTCTATAGATTTTATAATTTATACTAATTATAATAAATAAGTACCTAAGTGTATTGTTTATTCAATCAAAATTTTCATAACCTTACACCAATAACATTTTTTCAGAAAATAAAATTGATACAAGTGTCTAGATTAATATATACTGTCATATTGTATCATTAAAATTGATAAAAAAAGTTGATTTAGTAAACTTGACTAAAGAACTAGAATTTTTGAAAAGTGATATATTGAATATTACTAATAATTTATAATTAACAATAGGTATTTATAACCAATGGTCATACACTCATACTTATATAGAGTTAAACCAAAACTTAAATTTAAAGATGATACAGAAATTATATGTACTTAGGCCTATTATATTTATTTGTAAACATTATCTTTTATGAGATCCTGGAATTCCAGTGTCTGCCTGATTTTATTTAACTAGAAAACATTATAGAATAAGATTTGTGCCGTTTTAAAAATTACAAAGTTTTACGATATCATATATTTTATCTAATATATACCTAATCAAATAACTTCAAAAAATAAAATGATTAGGTATCACCTTATGGATAATATGGATCATGCATCTAAATATCATGTCTGTAGATTTGTAACTGACAAAAAATTGTGTATTGATACTAGATTGCTTGAGGTATGAAATAATTTAAGTCTCAAAATAATAATAATAGTAGTAATAATATAAAATAAACGTGACGTAATATTTTTTTTTTTTAATAAAAATATTTCTAAACCCACAAAAATACAATATAGATTATTAGACTGGTATGAAGATTGAAGGTGCTTACTATAACTTATGAAAGTCATGTCGGAAAAGGCCTATTTTGGGCTCACCTGTATTGATCCTTTTCCTACTCTAGTCAAGCGATGCGCATTGTCATGTTTCCACAGTTCACGCATCCTTGCAGTTCATATTATATGCGTATGATGATCTAAGTACCTCTTGGTGTTCAAAAGACATCCTACTCAATCTGTTTACTATTATGACATGTTTCTGTAATTCTGTGTTGTTAATTGCATCTAACGTGTTGCATTGTATCTACATGAAATGCATTCTATGAGAGAATTGTTCACACTTTTTATTGTTATCCCCGACTTAAACATGACTTTTATATAGTTTGTGTAAATCGATGTTGGGATCTACCTCCTTAATTACATGTTGTTGTAATGGAATTGTATGTGTAAACCTACATCACAATACCTATTGTATTGTACTTTAGGATATCAGAGCATATAGCAGAATATGGAAGTGAAGAACAATGTCAGCTGTTAGTTTTGGTCTGTTTGCCGTTGTAGTGTAGTTGTAGTGTAGTCGCATACTGACGCAGGTACTAGTGGTAATACGCTTTAAAACTTTTCAACTTTTCAAACGGTTTTCCAGAATTGATAAAGTGATAACTAGTTATCGTTTTGTAAATTTTCATGCTCGACGTATAGTCAATTTATCACCTTATCACGAAATGTCCGAAGTGATAAACGGTGAATAGTGGGTGATAGTAGTACGGCACCAGGCTACAAGTCGGCGAAATGGTGATTGTGAACGTTGATTTCGGAAATCACGATTTAATAATTAAAATTATTCATGTTAACTGTAATTTATAACTTATTAAAATAATTAGTTGTACGTAATTGTTTGGTTTTGTTCTCCTGCATCGGGTAGACAATTCGTTTTTAGGAATATGAAAGTGATATTTAGGATATTAAGACCCTATGGACCAAGAATTTTGAACGAATACAGTGGCAGTTCATCGTTTCTGTTCGTGGGATATCGGCGTTATTCAGTGAACACTGAAGGAAAAACAGAAAAAACAGAAGTACCACTCAAGTATCAGAATATACCAAGTGAAAACATTCGTAACTTTAGCATCATAGCCCATGTAGACCACGGCAAGAGCACATTGGCTGATCGACTACTAGAACTGACAAATACCATTTGCATCGAGGAAGGCAAAGCGCAAGTGTTGGACAGGTAAAAATAATTTTAATTTATGATAATGATTAATCACGTTTGAATTAAAATGTTTGTTGAAAAAGGTGTTAATATAGTTAGTGTATTATTGATTAAACTCTGAGAAAAAAAAAATTAAAATATTTAATAGATTGGTAGGTAAATTTAAATAATTTATTAATGTCAATAATTAAAGTTTTAAATTTATAAGTATATTTTTTTTATCTTATGCTTTAAGCTATTAATATTTCACTTACTGTATAAAATATGGTTATGGTCAACATTACATGTATTATTAAATATCTGATATATTCAAATAAAACAGTAATCAATAAAAGTATTTTCTTTTACATTTCAAATATTATTTAATATATTTGAAAAAAATAAGTTTTTGCTATAATAGTTTTAAATATTTAAGAATTATTACTACTTGTTTATTTATTTATTTATTTGAATTTATAAATTATGCATGTTAAAATTTATTGTGAATAATGAACTAATGCAATGTTAGTAAAATAACATAGTAGGTAGATAATATATTTTGTACCATTAGTACAAAAATTGATATGTACAATTTTTAATTGACTTAAAATTCTTAGAATTTATTTATCATAGTATTTGAATAAAACATTAAACCATTTTAGATATCTAACCACATTAAATTTTGTAAAAAGTTATTTATTATTTATTTATTCATTCTAGGTTACAAGTAGAAAAAGAAAGAGGTATAACAGTGAAAGCTCAAACAGCTTCATTGTTTTATAAAAGCAAAATAGATGACCAATTATACCTGTTAAATTTAATTGATACACCTGGTCACGTTGATTTTTCCAATGAGGTTTCTCGATCATTATCAGCATGTCAAGGTGTTATACTTTTAGTAGATGCTAACCAAGGAGTTCAAGCTCAGACAGTGGCTAATTTTTATTTGGCCTTTTGTCAGAATCTAATTATTGTACCTGTATTAAATAAAGTTGATTTAAAAAATGCTAATCCAGAAAAAGTAGAAGAACAACTGCGTGTATTGTTTGACGTTGAGCCAGAAACTGTCTTAAGGGTAAAGTTTGTGTCAATGAATTATTATAAAATAATTATTTTTTAATTATAAAATTACAAAATGCATATAGATATCAGCCAAGAATGGGACTGGTGTGGAAGATTTATTAGAATCTATTGTCACGCGATTACCACCTCCAGTTGCTAATCGCCAAGCACCATTCAAAGCTTTAATTTTTGATAGTTGGTTTGACAAATATCGTGGTGCTGTAGTTCTTATTTATGTTCAAGATGGATGTGTTAAAGAAGGTGATATAATAACAACTGTGTACTCTCAAACAACATATACAGTGAAAAATGTTGGAATACTTAGACCTACAGAATTTAATACAGGAACATTGTAAGGATATAATTTTTATAAAATATATTTTAAATTAACATTTTTAATACATTTTATAGAGTTGGTGGACAAGTTGGATTTCTCACGTGTAATATAAGATCAGCAAAAGATGCCCATATTGGAGATACTATACATTTGAAAGATGAACCAGTTGAACCATTTCCTGGATTTAAACCTGCTCAACCAATGGTATTTGCTGGATTATTCCCTATGGATCAATCATTACACATGGAAATGAGAAGTGCTTTAGAACGACTAACACTCAATGATTCAGCTGTTAGCATAACAACTGAGTCAAGGTACAAAAAAAATTAAAAAATAAACAATTATTTTTATTTTTACATCATCTATTTATTTACACTAGTCCAGCACTAGGTCTTGGTTGGAGATTAGGTTTCCTCGGCTTGCTCCATTTAGATGTATTTAATCAAAGATTAGAACAAGAATACAATGCCCAAGCCATTATGACAGCGCCTAGTGTAACATATAAAGGTTTTTTTTATCTAAACTTTTTAAAATATTGATTACTTTTTTAATATAAAAAATATTTCAGCCAAAGTGACATCAAAAAAATTAATTGAAAAGTATGGTAGTGATGAATTTTGTTTTTCTAATCCATTGGATTTCCCTGATCCAACTTTCACTGTAGCACTTTATGAACCGTTTATTCTTGGCACTATTATAACTCCAGGTAAAAATAAACAGTAATTATTAATATATATTTTTTTTATTAATGGTATAATTTAAATAACAGATGAATATTTGGGAGGTGTTTTGTCATTATGTATGGAGAAAAGAGGTGTACAAAAATCATCGACTAATATTGACAACACCAGAATAATGATTCAGTGTTATTTTCCATTAAATGAAATTGTTATAGATTTTCACGATACACTTAAATCAATTACATCAGGTTTTGGAAGTTTTAGTTATGAAGATCATGGATATGAACTTTCAAATTTAGTAAAAGTATAATAAATTACAAATATTATAAATTTGAATTGTATTATATACTTAGTACATAGGTATATTACATTCGTGTTATAATAAATTTAATATTATCTATTAAAATTTATTTAAGTAAATTTTAAATTCTATTTTACTATATTGAATTTATTTCTTCAAATATTTTTTTTTACTCAGTTTAAATTATCTAGAATTGTTCTTAATATAAAAAACATCACAAAATCTTATCTTTTTACATAATATTCTGTTGGTAATATAATTGATGTTAATTTTCAATACTGTTTTTTATATGTAATCATAGTTTAAATGATAAAATTGATTAATCACATAATAATTTACATTTTATTTTAAATGATATAAATGTCGTCAGTTGAATATTTTTATCTTGATAATAATCTAAAATATAAATATATTAATACGCCAATATCTTGCTGAACTCATTATTGGTGAAAGCATGTCACATTAAAAATATTGAAAAAAAGATATTTTTCAAATTAAACCTATGTACTAGTTCTCAACTTATGTTAGAGAGTTTTGTTGGAAAAAATATGAATTAATAATGGAAGTAATATGGTAAAAGAAATACCTCATTAGTGGTTTAATAATATTTTTATTGTAAAACTTAATAGTTAACACTCAATTATTTAAATAGTAAATAAAATAATAAACATTAAGATATCACTGCTAACAAGTTTTCATAACATAGTATTAATTTAATCTATTAATAATTATTTTTTAACTTCTAATATTTGAAATGGTGTAGCTGGACACTCTTTTTACTGAGGCAAACCTATTTAATGTTTAACTTAACCTTTTCTTATTGTATTGTAAAGATATAGATTATAAATATATTTTTTTTATAATAAAATTATAAAAAAAATCTTTTATTTTGTAAAAAATGTAAGTTTAGCTGTCAAAATCCTTAAGCAAAGTTTTACTGGTATTTAAAATTAGGAAATTTATGGCGAAAAAAATATATTTGAGTTAATACGATTTACTAAACAAAATAGTGTTTAAAATTAATACTATTTAAATACATAAAGTAAAGTATTTGTCAAGTATTATTTTAAATGTAATATTAAATATATTAAACACTTTTATACAATTCTTATTTCTTACACAAAAATTCATGTTTTTAGTTGAGTATTTTGCTTAATGGAAATGTCGTTGAAGAGCTTGGAACTATAGTTCATTCAAGTAAAGCTGTAAGTCTTGGACGTAAAATGGTATTGAAATTAGTAGAGATGGTTCCAAGACAAATGTTTCAGGTAATAATTTTAAGTACGAATTAATCATTGATACTTTTATCAACTAACTGGAATTGAAATATCATAGATTGCCATTCAAGCTTCAGTCAAAGGTAAAATAATTGCAAGAGAAACATTAAAACCTTATCGCAAAGATGTAACATCTAAACTTGTAAGTTCACTATCATATTTGTACTTTTATAATTATTTCAATACAAATTATAAGATAAAAATAATTACTTTACTTAAAATCAAATTGTGCTATATTCGTTTTTTTTTCATTTATCATGTTGAGTTAATCAAGGATACTTAAATTGTATTTTTCAACAATTAAATATTAACATGACTAAATTCACACATAACAATATTTTTTGGGTTATACTTTATTGATCTAATATTCTAATACAATACTGTTATATTATATACTATTTAACTCAATATTATATTTATTATCTAAATTATTTTTTACAAGTACTCTAAAGTTGAATGGTTACTTAGCATTACTACTATGTTTTAACATTTATTTTAATTAGTACTATTAAGTAATGATATTAATGTCTTACAACTTTTTCTTTATTTTATAGTGTGGAAAACGCGGTGGTGATATTACAAGAAAAATGAAACTTCTAAAACAACAATCAGATGCTAAAAAAAAAATGAAAATGGTTGGAAATATTGAAATCCCCCGAGATACATTCATTAATGTTCTTAAACGTTGACAATTTTATGTATTATTCTATATACTGTCAATTTGAATCTGTATGAAGTGTTTATTTTTGTTGTAATTTACAATTATAAATAGTAGTCAATAAATATTGTTAACAAATTTTATTGAACTTTTAATTTTGAATCTAAGCTGTATTAATTATTAATTATGCTAATGTATAGCTCATTTGTGTTTTTTTCTTTCCATGCAGTTTTTAAATTAATTTTTTGGTATTTAAATTTCTGGTATAGCATTAAAAAAGCAGCATTTTCAGACTTAATTCTGTTAAAATTTAAAAAGTAGGTCATTATTAATTGTTTTTAATTATTTTAAATTGAGAATTTAACAGATTTTCATTTCTTCAATATTTAAAAGCTCAAATAATAAAATAAAGTAATGAAAAATTAAAATCAATTAATATAAAACACTGCAGTATTGTGTACAGTACTATAAAAGTAATTTATAATAATCTATGCGAGTACATAAAAAATATATGTAGGGGTCGCTAAAAAATTGAAATTTTAAAAGGGAGGTCGCCACAGTAAAAAGGTTGAGAGACGCTGTTATAAATAATAAGTTAAATTTTTATAAATATATCATGTTTCCTAACCAATTGGCATTGAATTTGTTGAATATAATTAAATACAGAACAATGGTTTAAGTTTGATTTATAAGTACATACTGAATAATAGTATAAATCCTTATTCCAGTTTCATTTTTCTTTAATTATTAATTAATAACGATTAATGACAATTATAATTAAAAAAGTTACTCATTAAGATACCAGCTTAACAAATTAATAATTGTTGATATAACATAAAAAATATGCTTATGTAGTTATGTTTTAATAACAGTATTACATAAAAATTTAACACACATTTACTAATACATTGTAAAATTAAATATAAACGATAGTAATTATGAAAAAAAGTTACAATAATTTGTGTATAAAATTGATTATTTTTGTACTGTTATCTTATTAACTCAGAATTGTCCAAACAGTAGTATATTTTGTGAGCACAGTACAACAGTACTATATGGGTATGGGGTATACATCAATCAGTACAGCAGACAAGGCAATGCATTGAAATATGCTCAGAAAATGATTATTTATAATCTACACGGTATTTATGTACTATTGGTGATTTTTATTTTTGTAAAAAAGATATTGCAATATTTTAATCCAAAATGTCAGTAACTTGTATAATTATATATTAATTCACTTGATTACTGTAATTTTATTATATTGATAAAGTAATTTTCTAACATCAGAAATTAAAAAAAACTATTTTAGATTCTCTTAAAGTCAAAATCAATATTCAAATAAAAAAGAAATTGTTCAACATTTGTCTATCTAAAAGCTAGGAAAATTAAATTTGTTTGATAAGTATTATAGATATTTTATGTTTCTAACTTATTTTTAATAAACAAAGTGTATTAAATACTTTTCAAATTTTAACTGATTAATGATTATGGATTAGTTCCTGTTTCGGAACTTTTGTTAAAATAATTATTTTTTTCACAATAATGGATTGGATCTCGAATAAGCGATTGGCTTTTTTTTTTTTTTATATCTAATTAATAAATTCACTTAAACTGTCAAAATAAAATAAAATTAGGTTGACTGATGTTGGATACATGAATAGCTAAATTACTCTTTGTTTTAGAGGGAAACATTGTAGTTGTGTCACTGGTTTCAAAACATAATTTAACTTAATTTACTCACAATTACTTATTTTATAAATTTAAATATATTTTTTTTTGTTCCAATAAATTGTTATATGAATAAAGTGATAAATGCGTAAAAATGCGATTAATAAATGCGTAAACTCTATAATAATATTTTATATTAATGAAAACTTTGATCTTCGATGATAGAATGTTGTTGGAGCATGTTCCGTAAAAATACATCGAATCCGCAAACTTCTGACCGAAATAAAACGATTTTTTCAATAGCGCGAAGTGTAAATAGGCCGATACGGATCTCTGTTGGCTGAAAAAATATTACAAAATAAATGTTAGAGATTAGTCTATTTCATGTTAAGCAATATTATAATATTGTTATTAGATAAACTAATTAATTTCACTATTAGTAATACAGTAGGTACGTCAGTAGCTAGTAGGTTAAATTAATTTTCGTAGAAAACCCGAAAATATGGAATTCAAAAATACAATTATTATATGTACAAAATAAAATGATATGCGTAAAAGTTTTATTCCCTTCTCAAATAATGTCTTTAAAATAAAACTAAATAGAGAATACCTATCGTTGTACATAGTCATTTTTTGTAAATATGTAATTTCGTCTAAATTTAAACAAATATCTATAAAAAAAAATGCTGTTTATAGGATTTTTGGTTTTGGTACAAACCACTTATGAGGAACTTAAAATTAAATTTTAAACCTTGTATACCTATAAAAATTGCACATTTTACAAATTTTCAACTGCAAAACAATTTAAAAATGTTCGTTATTTGATGAATTTTGTCAAAATGTTAACTTCAAATGCATGTAAAAATTTATAAAAATTGCACCTATTTATTTTTAATATTTTTACGAATATATATTATAATGAAATTTATATGGTATCTTATATTATCACGTTTTTTGATCGAAGGTTCATATTTATTTGTATCGTTATTTGTAGAAATAAAACTAAAAAATTTTGAATTTCAAATGTCTAATAAATGCTTAAAAAAGATTGAAATATTTTTAAAATTGTAGTACATATGTATATAAAATGATTATAAAAACATTTCATAACAATTGTATCTGTGATTATTAGTTTTCGAGTTACACCAAAACAAAAAACGAAATTGATTTTCTCAAAAACTTGATTCGTGTAAAAATTTCATTTTTTTTAAAATTTGTTTCCGTTTCCCTGGTTATTTTGAAAATACACGGAATTTTAAATTTTGACATTTTTAAAGTAAAAACTAGACCTTATTTACCATCTGAAACCATCCTCAAAGTTAAAAATCAAACTAATTTTATAACTATTTATCGTGTTTATACACCCGACGAATGCATTTCAATTGCAGTCATATTTAAATATGTAGGTACTAACTTAATAGTAAATTATATTATCATTTTCTAATTAAATGTATGTTATCATATTTTAAAAAAGTAAAAACGTATAACAGTAAAAAAAATATTTTTTTTTTTTAAATCTTTGTTTTTTAACGACTTAAAGCTGTGTAAAAATAATACTTTCAAAAAATACATACATTTACTTAGGAAATGAAAACTAAATAAGTATTAAATAAAACTAGCTAGGTAATCTGTAAATTTGTATATGTAGACATGCAAGTATCTAGATATTAATAACCAGCAAAAAATTCGTCGTCTAAATCTTCGAATTCGGCCTCAGACATGATTTTGTTGATTTGCATCTTAATTGTCGCTTGTCGTTTGGCCGTAAATGTGCTCATCGTCTTAGCCCAGGCGAGAAATGTGTGCTCCTGAGCAGTAAAATCGAACGGTCCTTTCTTAACCTCCGGCTTGGGTTGTGGCAGATCGGGTAAAACATCTACACGACCGTCATTTCCATCGTCTCCCGTGCGGCTTGTATTACCTCCGTCACCGTCGGCGTCGGACTGGTCCTGTCGACGTCTCTTCTTGGAGCTAGATGGCCCGTCATCTTCCGTCGTTATCGCTTCCTCGCGCGTCGCGATCTCGTCATCGGCCGTGCCATTGTCGTCATCGTCTTCATCATCGTCGTCGTCGTCGTCGTCGTCGTCGTCGTCGTCATCGTCGCTGGTATTGCTGTCTTCGTCGGAGAACCGGCCCATAGTTATCATCCTTCGAATGTCTTGAATCATAGTGGCAGTGATACTCCTACCTAGCTGGTCATAACTATCATTCCGGTCAGCGGAACTGCGCGGCGACAACGGCGTCCCAAGGCTGTTTAAGTTTTCCAAAATCTGCGGCAGTCGTGACGCTGGTACTGCTCGTATAAACTCGGGACCCATAAATCCTAAATTAGACATTGGAATCTCTACGATCTCGATCGTACTCGGTTCTGGGATCTCGATACTGGGTCCCGGTATCGGGTGCGCGAGTTGTGAGTTTGCGAATCTCGAAGTGACCGGCGTTTCGTTCCCGTTCGAAGGTCTTTCGTGGTTCGACGTATGTATACAGCGATTTGTCTGTTGTTGTCCGACGAGACCGTCACGCTGCTCCTCAGGTTCCTGTCTTGCGGACCGTGGATTTGGGAATTCGGTGCTGGACGATGTGCCGTTGTCAGACGATCCGTCTATAATGGATGTCGTATGCAAAGGTTGTTGAGCCGAATTCGGGATGTGTGGCGTGTCTGTGATTATTCCGGGTATTAGCTGTATTCCGGTTTGAAATTTCGGTATTTGGCTGTTGAAAAACGATTTGAACATAATTATTGAAGAGAATTATTTTTTAAAACATATACATTTTTAATCAATATTTAATCATCTCACAATAGTATTCGATAATTTAAAAATAGAAAATAGTTGTAAACCATTAAAAATCATAATAATTTTTTCTTGTGTCCGTGTGTACAAAGTATTAACTATAAATTATTTAAATAAACCATCAAAGAGAAATATTATTTAAAAATAAATGTCACTGAGGAGGGATTCATGCCCCAAATTCATGCTCCTCGTGATTTTTATTGACTAGGGCCTGTTATTAATTATCCTAATCACTTTATTATTGATGAAATAGATCAATTTAAAACATGAAAATAAAATAAAAAATATATTTAATAGAACATTAAACAATTATCTAAAAATTAAGCCTTCTCAACTTCCTTCCTAGTTGCGCAAATGAATTTATTACTTACTGATCAAAACATTTATATAGGCTAAAAAATATTATAATTGTTTTTATTTATTTATAGTGCTCAAACACCTTTATTTTTAATGTGTTTAATTTTGGATCTTAAGCTAAATAAGTAGGTAGGAGGTACTTAATCAACCTCAACAATTTATCAAAAAGTCAAATTTTAAGGGACCCTCGTCATTTCAATTTAAAATAAAATTATTTGTTTCCAATTATCGTTAATTTTTACAATACTAAATCATTTAAAGATTTAAAAAAAATTCCTAAGTTGATTCGACCATTTTGACTATTTTGTAATTAGGTGGTTGTATGCAAATGCATACTTTAACAATTTAAAAAAAATTTAAATAAGTATATTTGGTACTTTTAACTGCTTAACATAGCAAAATCTTTAAAATGTAAAAAACAACTTTAAAATATGCAAATTAAAATTTCCTATTTTAATTAATTGTAATTCAAAACGTATTCATTGTATACTATATATATTATAATTAGAGAACGGATTTATATGTAATAAAAATACAGAATATATGGAAGCATAGTTTATAAAATATTTCTAAAAACATCAAAATATGCGGCAAAAAATTAAATACATTAAATTTAATCATTAAATTATTAAAATGATTTGTTTTATTGAATAATTACAATTTATTTTAAATTATCAAATATTAATTGTCATCTATTAGGTCTCAAAATATTTTTAAAACGGCTAGATAATCGGTCCACATATCAACTGATGTAATTTGAGCATACTTGAAGCACATAATATCTGAAGGTGATAATTCTAAATTTTTAGAAGGGTGTCTGTTACTCATTATGTCATTGATTGGTTTTAAATCATTAAAGCCTGGATTTTTTTTTTATAACAGCATGCATTTTTTTTCGACAATAATACAATATACCGATAAATGGCTATTTTTGTTCACTGCAACATGGGTTGAAAACATATGAAAGATGAAATGATAAAATATGTTTAAAAATATTTACAAATTAGTGAAATATGTAAAAATATGTAATTATACCAAAATGTGTAAAAGTAGCATCATTTTAATAAGAATAATTTAAATTGTGAACATTTCTTATCGAATCTTGTTTTAATAAAAATATGCATTTACATATACATTTGTTCCTTAGTTATAATCCTTTTAATATATGGACAAGCTATTGGAGCTTTAGGTCCAGAACCCTTTATAATTAGGTATATTGTACGCGCGTCTATAATTTTATTTCACTGGTTTTGTTTGCATCGTCCAATTATAACGCGATGTTTAAAAAGTTTTTTTTTGCCAATCGATAAAAAATAGTTTCCCATAAAGTCACGTTTAAGATACAAGAAACATGAACAATACATTACCATATTATGGTATAAATATTAAAAAAAATGCGTTTAAAATAAATTGTTCAATAAATAATTGCATTTTATTGAGACCGACTTTGGAATTAATTTCTGAATAAAATCTTAGCACAATATTTTTTATAAATATTGGCGTAAGTCGTAATTATTAATTTGTTTCGTTTTTGATTGAAAATTGAAAATAAAATTGAAATCATACAAAGTGCAATAAGTTCCGCTCCCAAATTAGTTTCTTAAGAAATAACCTTTGATTATATATAATTCCATTTGCAGACAGTCTGACCCACTCTCCTAAAGTCTTAAGTAGCTGGTTATTCTGATAAAATGTTCATAAAATACAACATCAGTAGCTCCAAAGTATATTTTCAGTACTGTGAATTTATTTTAGAACTTTATCTCGCTGAACTTTTTGGTCTATTCAATTTGAGAAAATAAATTAAATATTAATTAAATATCGTTACGTCAGCGTGAGTTTTCGTCAATAATTTTAATTTATTCTTAATATTACTATTACAGACCAATGATAGAACCTATTTATATAATTATCGGAAATTTTACTTTAAACTTTTTTAGAATATTTATTAAAACTGTTGCTATTTACAATAAAATTTTCTAGAATTAAAACAACACACGAGACTCGAATTAGAATAAAAATAATCTATACATCATTCGTCATTCATTGGTTATTAAAAATGTATAAATAATTAATGAGTTTTACTATTCTATTTATTAGGTACATATTTTAATTTTTAACGGTATTTATCAAAATACTTACAATTGTTTGCGAACATATGGTTTAAAGATACGCATTGGCTTCGTCCATGGCCATTTCATGAATCGTTCCAATACTTTTTCAGACGAATCATCGTTGCTCAGTTTTCTAATGAAATCAGCATACTTGTTTAATATTTGGTCCCACTTTTTCTGTAGAATTTCGCCTGTAAATGAACATTGCTCATGTAATATAATATAAAATGCCTATTGTTTTATTGTACAAATACAAAGTGATCAGATTCTTAAAGTTATATGTGCCCATATGGCTATATAGACCAAACCCATTTTTTTTTTAAACACAAGTTGTACTTCAATAATTAAATAATCAAACTATTTTTCTACTATTCATTTAAATTATCTCCAAGCTTGAGCTAATGATGAATATATTTTATTTCTAATCATATTATATGAGCATAATACATGATAAATGAATGAACTATAAAGTATATTAAATTAAATTTTTTCTTTTTTTATTATTCGCATAATACAGCTTCAAATACTTAAGGTTATCAGCTTACAAGTTTTGTACAAATTAAAATAATAGATATATAAATACATATAATACTAATCTATAAAATTCTTATAAATAGGCAATAGCACTTAAAAATATGTTTTTAAGTAATTAAATTTAACAAAATTAATACTGTTTAATCAATAATCGTTTAGTTTAAAAATGGATAGACAATTATTTATCTTAATAATTTGAAAAATCACATAGGTGCGATACGTTTTATTAGAATGCAAAATATTCGTAGGTACCTACTGATTTTTTATTGTTATCTAGATACCATAAAACGACTTAAAACCAAGGTGATAAATGTGTTTAATAATTATAATAAAGGATGTCTGAGCTGTGAGTAGTGAGCATTCTATATAGTACATACGATGATATATTTACTGTTTCGATTAATTTTATAAAAGCATAATGCTATAAGTTGACATTGTAATTGTAAGCCTAAATTATATGACCAGTATTAGTAAATCACAATTCAAAGCTTCAATTTTTTATAATAAATTGTTAGTTGATTCCGAACAGTATTGCCTGTGAAAAAATGAAATAATGCCAATGGTTTTACCATACCTTAAAATCTGTCAAATGTAAGCTACACATATTTTTAACACTGTAAAAAAAATTGTGTAATTTTAACCAAATATAAAATGTAGGTCTTAAATCATGTATTATTTTAACAACAATTTTATTTTCTATAATCATTGACAAACAATGACAACGTATTGCATGTACATTTTTCCCAAACTTAACATTACATAGATTTAAAGGAAACAGAAGCCTATGGAGCTGTAGAGCGAGAGTGATTGACTTACATTTAATTGAAAGTAAAAAATAAAGAATAAAAGAAAAAGTAGATTTTTATTTTTTGTATTTGCATTTCAATAATAAATATATTCTATAAATAAATACAAAGATGAGTCATTAAATTTTAAAATTATTTTATACAATTATAAGTTCTTTATCAATATATTATTATATCAATTGTTATTCTTTTTGTCAAAACTTTATTTATGTGTTAAAATTTAACAATCAAAATCAAAAGTAAGTAATATTAATAATGAACAAACAACAACGATGAAAATATATACTCGTAAAAAAAAATTATACTTGCAGACATTCTCTATTAACTCGCTACCTTCACGAATTATGCTTAAAGAACGAAAGTATAAATCTAAGAGAGATTACTACATTTAATTTATTTATGACGTACTGTATTTATTTATAATAAGCACAAATTTATTTTTGATTTAAAAATAAATAATAACAAAAAAATAAAAAATTTTGTAAGCTAATTACGACCTTCAGATTTGACTAAAAATTATAAATTGTTATGCGAAGTAACAAAAATAAAGAATACGTGATTTGAAATGTTAACAAGATTCTTTAAAAAACTATGAATTATAATATGAAGTAATAAAAATAAAAACAACACGAGAATAACGCATTTAATTTACACTTTTGTGTTTGTTACTATTATGACACTAATCTTATTGTTTAATGATTATTGTATTATATTTTATAGTTTGATATGATGTTAAATAGATTGAAACAAATATGCACATAATTCTGTTTCTCCGTTTAAAAGAGACTTCGGGGAACTTCAAAGATGGAAAATCATTTAAAAGTTTCTTTAAGTTATATTTGATTGTGAATGTACATAGGAATAGTTATTATTTTTTTCTTAGTAAAAAAGTATTTATCTTGGTTTATTTTCAAGTATACGTAAGTTTATAAAACCGAAACACATAAAACGCAAAATACTTGTGTTATATAAATATGATATAACTTTACGTATTAATATTTGTAATTTTATATGTATCAAAGAAAAGAAGTCACCAAGTAAGTTAGAAATCTTTCTTTTATCTGGCTATTTCCAAATAAAACTAATACATCAAGTTTTAAAGTTAAATTCCATAATTAATTATATAAAATAAAAAAAAAAACATCTTTGGGTTGGCTATGTTTAATTAGTAGTTACTTATTTATACTTACTACATTTTTTTAACTATTTAATGATTTTATATAGTTCATAATTATATAATTAAGAATTATAAATTTTAATAAATTGTTGACAATTTTAAAATAATTATGACCATAAATATCTGATGAATAGTTAAAATAATTGTAATTTATTTGCAAACTCTAAATTTTTATGAAACAAATTTGATTTAATTTTTTTGATGATGATGCGTTTTCTATAAAAATTAATTACCTTAGAGTTAATTTATTATATTTTGTTTAAGATTTAAACAAAATATTGAATATTTTAAAAATTATTTATCGCAGTAACCTGAATTTATGGTAAACAGGATGTAGAGAAATTTCGCACAACTCCTCCACATACAGAATTAATTATTTATGTAAATATTATTTTCATAAACTTTAAAAAAAATATTTTAGAATACCTAATGGTTATTTTTTTGGAATTTTTTTGAAAAGAATATTTAATAGTTATATCATAGGCGGCGATTAAGGGGTGTTTGAGGGGACTTAGCCCCCCCCCGTCCCCCCAAAAAATAACCGAAAGCTCCCCTAAAATTATTGGGCATTTTTCAAAGTATTAAATAGGTACCTATTTTGCAACAATGCAAAAAAAAAGATTTAAGCTCCTCCCCTAAAATGCAATCAAATATACCTACACCAATTTAGAAGTGGAGTCTATATCCATGATACAATTTGAAAATGATTATGATTTATATCAAAATATATACTTTAAATTATATCAAGATCCATTATTTCTGGCTGTATTTCAATCTCTTGATACATATTAGTACATTACATTCGGGTGATTTAACTTAGACATTGTGTGTAGCTGTGTATTAATCATGTTTATTTTTCGTATTTCATGGATGCTTATAAAATTATTCCTGATATTAATACTAAAAAAAATAAAAAATAAAAATATATTTTAAAATACGACATTGACTTTTTGGGTTATATCATAAATTATGCGTATATTATATTATACATTTTTTTTATCTTAATCATAAAAATATTGGTAATATAACATACGTATTACAAGGTAAAGTGTATCTACTATCTACGATGCACGAAAATATAATTATTTAAGTCAATATTTTTCTTCGATTTTATGTTCATATAAAAAAAATATAGAAGTATTTTTTTACAATTTATTATTGTACGAATCATTTATAATATATATATATATATATATATATATATATTTGGTATAAACCTTATTTTTCTGTTTGCATTGACGACGCCGAGGGCATTTTTTTCGTATTACTTCCGCGACATCGTCATTTTTTATTGAAATTAATTTATGTTTCATAATATTATTATTACATTTTATATGTCTCAGTTATGTTTCTTATGGGCGCACATTTCAATTATTTTGTTATATTTCATAAAAGAAAAAATAAATTTTTGGCTTAAGGCCCACTTGTACCTTTATCCAGTTCGAGTGCTTAGCGCCGGTGTTTAGATATAGTAGATATACTATACTTACTTATATTAATGCATATGGGACAATGAATACAAATATACAAATAGTCTACATAATAATATATTCATACTCTTCTGTCACTAAGTAGAATTAATTAACTTATTTATATTAACTATAATACATTATAATATGATAATATATGTTTATATAAACACAACTAAGTTAAATAAACGTTGGTTATTCTCCATCTTTTATATGAGAAAATCCTGGATTTAGATATTATTGGTTTTTATTGTTGTATATATTAGTTTAAATTTTGAAATTGTGTTTAAATTAGTATTAGAATTTGTGTACATCATTTAACTTTTGTAATTTAAAAAATAAAACGTGAAAATTATTAAAAGACAAATATATTATTTGGTAAATTATATTATTATGTTAGTATAATTTTTGGTTAGTGTTCGAATTCTATGAATTAAAAATTCGAAATGTATTTGTTTAATGTATTTGATATAAACCTCAAAAGATCCAGTTTATTTTGTCGAACTGATTTATGTCCAAATTTAAATGAATTTTGATTTAAGCAAGGTCCAAAAACTTTTCGTCCAAATAAATAATGCCCAACATGCAATAAAATTCAGTTTAAATAAAGTCTATATAGAAATATTCTACTAATATATTAATTTATAAAGTCTTATATTTACATTAATTTTATCAACTAGCATAATATTTATAAAAGTGAAATAAGTTAACTTTCTCTCTTTTTCTAATATCTATTCATGTAAAATCGAGGAGATTATTTTTTGATTAATGTTTTATGCTGTTGGTTTTTATAAATAAAATTAATTTGTATAGCATTTTATAAATAAAAATACTAAATAAAAAATAAAAAGTTAAAAAAAAAATACTATTAAAAGCAACTATATATTATCTAAATAACTATTTAAATAGTATAAATTATTGAGCTTAATTTTATAGATGGTACAATTGTGCAATAAAAAATTTGAATACAATTTTCAATCCATACTTTCGTAATGTTTACGTAGTATCTAATAGTAATGTTTCATGAAAACATATCTAATTCTGTCATTAAATATAGTACACTATGTATACAATCATTTTTAAATTAGAACAAATAATTTCATTTAAATTCACTAATTATTTTGTATACACAATAGGTATTATTCGGTAGGTAACTACAATATTAATATTTAGTGTATTTAATAGGTAGGTACTTACTTACTAGTTATTACCTAGATTGCTTGTAAGAAAAAAATGTCATTATAATTTAGTGATTTTGTTTTATTAAAAAAACGTACAAATTAATTTTAATAATCAAGACTTTCAATACATTTAAAAATAAAATAAATCATTTAATTTAAAACTTATTAGTACCTAATTACTACAATCTTAGATAATAATATTGCTGGAAACGAAATATATAATAAACGGTTAGACGTTATTGAATCTACAACAATGCACTCAATTTGTGGAAGTGGACGCCTGACATTAAATGCTTTTATATTTTCTTCGTACTTATGTGTATTATTATTTTATCTAAAAATATCGTATACTTGTTTTTTTTATGCTATATGAAATAGATATAATAAAAGTTTAAAAAAAGGTATCGCTCTGTTATATAGTAGGTGTCGAATGAGTTACGAATGGATGTAATGAATGTCTTAATCCCAATAGTCCCGTCTACCCTTCACATGACCCAGTTTCATTACAAACCCACGAAGACTAATTATTATTTTAAGTTAAACCTACACAATTGGATATTTCTAAATAATGTTAACTAGACTATAGCTGTGTGTAAATAAACGTATCAATTAAGAATTAATTAATAGCCCTTAACTTAAAATGATGTAGATATTTTTATTAAATAAGACATTGAGAGACAAAAATTTGAAAACATTGATATTAATAATATGTGATATTAATTAGTACTAATTTCTGAACATAAATCATTTGATCTCCGTATACCTAGTACTCTTAAATCATAAACACCGACTACAGAGATATACAGCTGTCCTTCACTACCTCATCTTGCTTCATGTTGAGAAATAAGTATGTTTTCTTATGGTCTCTAATATTTCTTAATACTTAGTAGTCATGTAAAACAAATATTTATTATTATTATCAAATATTATAATTAATTTTTTTTTTTTTTTAAATAACAAAAAAAAAAAAATGTGAATTCATTTAATTGAAAGCTCTGGTAGGTTATAAAAATACACTACAAAATTTATTAATACAAAAACCAAATTAATATTTTTTTGATTCGTATTATATACGTTATTATAACAAGTAAAAATTGTTGTACCTTTCTATACAATAATACAATTTCATATTGTAGTGTAAAAATATCAATTATTTTGGAAGCGTATTGTGAGAAAAAATCCATATAAATGTGTTATTAACATTTTAAAAGTAACAATACAATAAGCTTTAATTAAAATGCAAAGGTCTTACTACTTTTATTTTAATTATTACAATTCATTTATAAATTTTTCAGTTTTTTTTTTTTTTTTGGAGGTGGCTGTATTTTATAAAAAGTATTAATTTGTGTTTAATAAAAACTGTACAAGTAAAAATGTTTTAAGTATAATTTCAACAGCGTACAATCAATATTTGAACACTGTATAAATAAAAACATTTTACGCATTTTTATTATTCATAGCATTTTTGCTTTGTATTATAAAATATTTATAATTTACATACAAAACAATAAAAATGGAGTAGTTAATTATAAACATGAATAAATAAATAATATAAAATAAATCGAGATACAAGGTTTATTAAATTCAATAACAATTATATTTTATGATGTTACCTAATATTTTTTTTCATTTATTAAATAATAAATTCAAGGTTCTTGATCGCATTGCATTTTATTTTGTGAAGAAAGTATTTTCCCGAATAAAAACGTTTGAAAATGTACTATAAGATTCCTTGTATGTAGTTCTTGCAGTAATAAAAAAATTCGAAAATCAAAGCAAGCTTTTTTACTTTAAATGCTTTTTTTATAAGCATTTTTAACTAAAATATTGATGAACTTAGATATTAGATATGTTTTACGAAATTCTGCTTAAAATATTTTTAATATTTTGTTAAAATTCAAAAAATATTAATAAATTTTATTTATTTCACTGTTACTTCAATTATCAATTGTCTATACCTATACAGCGAATAACATGTATAAAATCTCTCTCATGTAGCCTGTGTAAATAAGTAGTAACTTTAAGGATAAAAAATTGCCAAAAACACGTAAAAATTCACGAGAATCATAAAAAACTACAAGAAAAAAATTATAGTTTACAAACCATAATGTATAAAGTGGTGTGTTTCAGTTAAATATTAAAGTTTTTTGTTAAATTTAAATTTAATAATTCACCTGACACCTGTACTGCCTAAAGTCCAGGTAGTGAAATTCATTCAAATCGTGAATTTTAACTACAATAGGTAATACGGACAATGATACAATATACAATTTTTATATTGTACACTTTGAGTAATTATTAAAAGACAAATTATTGTAAAAAGTTTACTTAAATATTTGCTTATAAAAACTATATAATAACCATTATTCATTTATATTATTTTAAGTAATTTTAATGACTTAATTTTACTGTTAATATTAACTTTAATTTTAAAGTTATTTTTAATTAATATTGATCATTATAAATTAATTGTAATTAATTATAAATCATAAAAAATTTTATTAAATTGAGATTATATGTAAATATATTAATTTTCAGATAATTTATAAGTTTATTTTGGACTAAAATGTAATTAAAATATATTTATAATTACCAGAAGTCTAGTTTATAAATACTAGATTTATTTATATTAAAATCAAATATAATGTTATATTATTGTTCAAATAATTATAAAGACAAAATATAAGCTTATAACTCACGATAATTTATTATCGATTAAGTTAGATTACATTAATTATACGTGGGTATAATTCATTTCATGAAATTAACACAGAGGCAAACATTTAGACACCTACCTGGATGTCTAGTACTCTAGTTTATATTATAGCCACGTCTAGAATATACACAGTTTTAAATATAATGTAAAGCTACACGTCTGTATCTATGTGATAAACTGGTAACTAGAAAATTGATGAAATTATTAGAGAATTGGTAACTAAGCCTAAGTGTATGTCATTATGTCATATGAATATTTTGTTCCCATCTTTAATTTTGACAATAAATAATCAAAAAAACATTTGTTTAATTTTTTTTTTTTTCATTTTTTCGTTTTTTTTTTTCAGAATCTAAAAACTAAATAAAAATATTTTACCAGTAGTTAATATACATAGATACTTAATCTGAACACAATTACTCCATTTTCTGCTAAAAATATAATCTGTACAATGATATTATTATATACTACATTACAGGATTTCATATGTCATTTTAAGATAATTATTTGTATACATATTACATATTATAAATGAATGTTTCTTTGTTTGTATTCTATAGATTTATAAACTATTGGACCGTTTTCAGTAAAAGTTATATCAATACAATCCTTTAGAATCGGAAGGTGTTTCTAACTTATATATTGAACCTTTATAGATTTATAAAGAGTTTCATGTACATAAATTTAATTTTGGCTCTTGAATATTTTATTGTTGATTTGAATATTTGCTGTAAGTTATGCCACTAATTTATAATAATATTACTATTATTTATAAATTATAATTAATAGAAACATGGAATGTAAAAACATTTACAAATATATTGTAAAACAAATATTTAAGAACACAAAAATTGCAATGATTATTTTTATTTTTGCTTCCTTAATTTTTAACATATTTTTAATCCGAACATTTTAAAACAAATATCAATTTTAAATTTTAACCAAATTAGATTTACGTTAATTAACCAACCTAATAGTCATCATGGTCATTGAAACATAAAACATTTATTCTAAATATATAAAAAATATTTCATACTTAGATAGGACAATGCGTATAGCACGCCATTAAGTTATTTCATCATGTATTAGTTACAGGGACCAACTAAATAATATTATTAACTCAAGTCATACTATACTGCAAACTCAGATATTTTTTTTTTTTGTGGTAGGAATATATTGTGAGTATTGAGCGATTAGATTATCAAACCTTTAATTGTAGTTATTAAATAAAAAAGGTTTTTAACACCATAATACATGTTGTATGAATCTTATAATATTAGAAATACTTCATTGAACAATTTTCAATAAAAATAATTTTATATTATACTCCAATTATATTGATAATACTATAATAGTTGCAATTTTATTTGACGTGTAATACGTAATAATCAAAAAAAAAAAAGTTATAGAAAATTATTTTATAGTTTAAAGTTTGGATAATTATGATACAGCAATAAAGATATCATGAAATAAAATTATGATATTCAATAGGTATAAGCATAATATATTTAATATATTTTGATTTTTATAATTATTTTAATAATTCAGAAAATTACAAAATTGTATATTTTTCTAAATCATTTGAAAAAGACTAAATTGACAACAAATTTAAATTCATAGCTTATAAATGTAGAAAAATATTATAATCCTCAATAAACTAGTGGATTTTAATTTTTAAAAATACATTATTGATGTAATGTAACGTATTATTTATTTATTTAATATGAATTATTTTAGTTATATCGCGATATAAAATGTTTTAGCTTTATTTTTTTAGGTAAAACAATCTTACTAAATAAGTTATGAAGAATACAGAAATACATAACATTTTAATTTTTTCACAAAATTAAAGAACTTCGATTATTTCAAATTATTTTCATACAATATTTTCACAGGAAAAATTTATTCAAAATTTTAAAAATAACTGTTTTAAAATTTTTATTTTAAAGTCAAGAATGCGTGCATTTTTTGATAGTTTTAATTTATAAACTGTAGAACCTTATAATTAAAAATTAATTATAAATTATAATTGGCTATTACATTAAAAAATAAAGTTTATTACTCACCTGTTATACCATTCATTTCTTTATTGATGATGGTATTAAAAATATTGTTTCTTATTTCTTTATTAGCAAAGTTTATATTGTCTGGATTGTAAATCTCTGGATGTTTGCTGACTTCATGTATTAATTTCGCCACATCTACATTCATGGTCATTTTTTTTGTCGAAACTTTTGCGAGTGAAAAAAAAATTGAAAAATTGAAGTACGTAATTGTTGTTACGTAATGTTGTTTATCAAAAGTTTTATGTAGACTTTATCTTCGCAGGAGGTCCGCCGATCAGTGTGCCTGGGAGTACACTGAGCGCCAAAAATATGCGAACTTCAGATGAGGTACCTACTATAATGTAAACGTTTGGATTTGACGTACGCAACTACGCATTTTATTGATTATTTTTGTTCTATCTAACGGTAACTTGATGAACTGTTCGAGCAACAAGCCCGTACAAGAAACCTTCCATAAATAATTTATTTGAAAATATAATTGTGAATTGTAATTATTACTATCGTTATATTATTGATTAAATACAATATATAAATTTTTAATCAATGTAATAAAAAAACTATGATTGTATACGATTTTTTTTTTTTCATGTTACTATTTAATTCGAAAAATGAATGTTATCGATGTTAAATATTAAAATCGAAAGTACGGTATACATTTTAGTTCATATTTGTCCATATAAATAATATAATATATTGTTACAAAAATGTCTACCTATTCAAACTGATTATTATTTACATGATACAGATTCACTCTGTAATTACAGCAGTAATAAATTTAATTATTTAATATACATAATAAAATTTAATAAATTTGAATTAATAATTTAGTACATATATACAATTTATAAAAAATAGTATTCATATGCCATATAATTTCATTAGCTATAATATAATAAATCTATATATATAAAATCTAAATACCTCACTCACTGATCGCTGTATCTCGAAAACTACTCGAGCTATGTACTTGAAATTTAGAGTAGTGATTCCTCTAATACTTTCACCACGCGACAGGAAAGGATTTTTAAAAATGTTGCGTTCAAGTGAACTAATGAATAATTTAAATTATTCGTTAATTAATACGTTTTGTACGGCACGGCGACCGGCCGTCTGGGTTTCAGCTACCTGCAACCTATAAACATAACAGCCATGCAGTGTGTAGATATATTAGATATGAATTGTTCTGAGAATTTTGTAGACAAAAGTACACACGGTATTCAGTTATAACTAATAAAATTCAAGTGTGGTACCACAGAATATGTGTTGTATCACGACGCACGGTTCGATATCAAGAGAGTGACTGTAATAGACGTGTTAAACTTGATTTCAAAATTCAAATTGCTCTTTTTATTAGACAAGAGTAATATTATTTATAATCCAATTATACATTTAAAAGAACAGAACTTTTTTATGTTCCCATTTTGTGACGACACTATTTAACACTTTCCAGTTTTTTTTTTTTTTTCACAAGGTTGAACCAAATACTCTTACGAGAGATCTATTATTCACAATTTAATTTTATTCGTCATTTCACTCATTTTGAAAAAAACACAAACTACACACGGGCGAAGCCGGGTAATTCAGCTAGTACTATATATATCATAGAAAATTTATCATTTTCCCATTTTTATTATTTGTTGAAATAACTAACAATTAGATATAAGTACCTAGGTACTTTCATAAGAAAAATGCAATTTGTTTTATGTGGCAATTGTTTACTTTTTGGGTAATCAAACTTTTATATAGATTTCTTCCACTACGCTTTAAACGCACTTTAAAAGGTTTAATACGAAATAAAAATACAAAGTATAAATATTGATTTTTTATTTCATACTTTAATTTATTTGTATGTTTTCCATCATAAAAACCGTATGTATTATATCCCTAACGAAAAATAAAAACTATTGGTTCAACTATTTATCATGATGTATTATAATAATTGTATTTTCCGAACTCCTTTATAGTGCTTATATATTAAATTGATAAAAGTGATAAAAGTTTTATATAGCCGATATAGATAGATTTGAAATTACAAATTTAACATATAAACATTTTAAAGTATATACCTTTATTAAATAATAACAGTTATATTAATAATCAAATGAAATGTGATTAAATTACAAAAAAAAAGCCCAAATTTAATTTTAATTTTATCAGGTTAATTTATTTTTATTTATTATCACATGTACAAAATAAGTACCTACCAAGCTGATTGAAAACATTTCTAATTTGAGAATTACTATTTTTTTTTTTAACTCTATAATACGCCAAATTAGTAAAGATGAATGTTAATTAAAATTAATTGTATTTTTTTAATTTGAAATAGTTGCAAATTAAGTTTAAAAAAAGGGGAAAGTAAATAAATAGTAGATATTGATAAATCATTGAATATAACAAATAATTTTGAGCGATAATGGTCCATTAGCATATATACAATCTATCCTCTAAGGAACGATAAGAATATGTAATAACATAATTAATTTTTTACATAAATAGTATCATAGAAGAAGTCATGTAGTGGTGAAATTATCCTAACTTGTTAACCAGATAATATATGATTTTTATTTGATTTAAAAAACATATGATGCGAAACCTTAAATGTTAAATGTAGAATAATAATATATTATACATTTATGCACATAGCTATTATTCTATTATTTATCAATTTCCATTAGAGTATAAATTTATTAAATTGATTTGTTCTTATTATTTATCTGTTACAATAATAGAAAATTCTATATTAATAATACAATTATTATTTTAATATTTGTTTAATAAAACCGTTATAGGTATCTGCAGGTATCTACAAATAGCATAAAAGAGTATTGCTACGAATAAATACCAAAGGATAATTAGTTATAACTGTTATAAGTATATTTAAATAACTGAAATTGAATCTTTTAATTCCTAGATAGGCATTTTAAATTTATACTATTTACTTATTTACATTTTTCTTTTTTAACAAATATTTATTATTTATTTAGTAATTATTATACAACTATTTAAATTATTTGGTGTGTATCATTATAATAAACAATAATATGACTGTTATGAAATTGAATTATGAAATGTTTGGTTTGATATAGAATAAACATTTATCTTATAAATAAATATGTTATACATTTACGATTCTATAAATTATTTTGTTATCACATATCAAATTCAAATGTATATAATAGATAAGTTTGAGTATCTATGAAAATATTTTAAAAATTCACGTATAAACGTTTAATTAATAATGTGTATGTTTTCTATCATACATGAATCAATAAATAATTATGATACCACTCTACTTTTTGATCTTTAGCTTAACCAATATAATAAAAATGTAAATTAAATAGATTCGCTGAAAGGAATTAAGGCAGTGTATACGTACCATAGATTCATAGAAAGAAATAAAAATCATAGAACAAATTTTGCTTTCATCTATTTTTACTTGTCTATAAATTCTATTGGATAAAAAAAAAAAAAAAAACGTAAAAACATCTCTATAAAAGTATAAAACTATATGTATAAAGAGTTATCAACATTACATAATTACAATTTATAACAATATGTATTACACAAACCAAGATTTTTACTTTATATTACTTACTTCATCAAAAAACAAAAATCATTTAAACTTATTAATACTAAAAAAAAAATAGTAATATAATTTTTGATTACCTAATAATAGTATTCATGACTTCAAAAACCTTATATCGGATTTAAATTATAAAATACAATTTTGTAACACATTTCAGTCAGCTTTAAATAAAATAAAACTCGTTTTAGTTTCTTTCTATTATTTAAATACACGTGTATGTAACTACCTACTTAATTGTTTGTATGATTTATATTATACATATTTTAATTTGGAAAAATTTTCAACAGTTTTAATTTTTTTAATTTAATACAATTATTATGTATTATTAATTTATAAAGTGTTTAAATGGGATCTATAATAAGTTAATTTTTTTCGAAATTATAGTTAATTATAATAACTTAAACGTATTTATTGAATAGGTTTAGACATCACATTAAACTTAACCAATAAACCGTACCTACAAAATAGTTGTTCATTGATGTGAATTAAATTTTAGAATCATCATTGTCACAATACTATTAAGTTTAATCGTCCTATTGCTTTGGCTATACAAATCTATCTATCTTATAAATGTGCAATTCTCACTGTTTGATTTTAATTAAATGTCACCGTTCCGTATGAAATATGAAAACGGCTCTAATATATATCACTCAGTGTGTTGAATGGAACGTTGATATTAAATTTATTTTAATTACATCTATTATAACGTATTTTAAATATACAAAACAGTTTATGATTTTGCTCCAAGTAGAAAAAAAAATTGTAATAATGCATTCATTTTGAAATTTTTATAATCTATGTTACCACATTTGGTATATCATTAATTTATAAGAACAATTAAAATTATTTGATTAATATTATAATATAATAATATCAATAAAAATAGGGAGTCGTTGAGTACGGCTTAGTAACATAATATATTATATAATATATATTGTATAGTGTTTTTATTTTATTTTTATTAATAAATTAAAGTAAAAATATTGTTTTAATGGTACATTTAATTGATTTATTATTATTTTGAGTTGAAGTACTATAAAGTATACAAATATTGCGTGTTTAAATTTTATAAAATAAACACTTCACATATTAGTATTATATTGTAAAACTATGCTAAATAAAAAATCAACAGTTTTAACTTGTGAAAATTATCAAATTATACACTTTTACTGAAATTCAATCATAATCCATTTAGTATCTGTATCATATTTCTAATCGATAGACAATTTATTTGATACTTTAAAAGCACTTGATTATCACTAGGGATCGGATTTATATGTATTTATGCTACCAAAATATGTACATAAATATGTGCTAAAACACTCAAAATATGTATTTTACTAATATGATTTATTTATTAATATTTAATTATTTAATACGTTCTTATGAGTTACTAATGAAACAAATTATATTTTAAATAGTAAAATATTAAAGAATGAAAAATCTAAAAAAAAATGAAAAAACTAATTATCTTGAGTATATTTATGATAACATGCATTTTTAAATTTTCAAATTCATAAGATTTTCGATTTGGTCGTAAAACTGCCTTATACTGACTAAATAATCTTTCGACTTCTAATAATGTTATTGAACAGTATTGCATTTTGACTATGTCTGAAGGAGTAAGTTCTACATCCAATGAAAATACAGGAGAACGACCATTGCAAAGAATACTTTTGATAGCTATT